TTGATGTACAGCACTTTGTATCAGCTGTGGTTGTTTTAAAGTGCTTTATAAATAAAGTTGGTATGGTATGGTACTCAGAACTGAAGCAGAACCGGGACTGAGGGCTCACCAATCCGGATGAATCCGTCCTCGGTTCGATGGTACTTCGGCTTCTTCTCCCTCCCGTCCGTCAGCGCCTCCTTCTCAGCCTGAATATTCTGGGAAACACGAAAACAAGCAGAAATTATTTGATTTAGATCCAGGTCCTTGTTTTGGTCCAAACCTCGTTTTTTTTTGGGTCTCATATTTCTAAACTCCGAGGTTTCATCTGACATTTCAGATGTCAGAGGAATGAATCTGGTTTGACTTTCTGGACTCACATCGAACGGCAGAACTTCCACTGACGTGTTGAACAGTTTGTCTCCTGGATGCTCAATGTTTCCGCTCCGGAAGAAGAACCTAAAAACAACAGAAAGCTTTAACTCCAGACAGGAAGTTCCTCCCCGCGCCACGCCGTACCGACCTCTCGATGCGGACGGGCGTAAAGAAGCGGATCCTGATGAAGTCGCCGGCCACGGGCGTGAAGGCCCAGAAGAAGTCCTCTCCGGCGTAGGCCTTCTCCAGGGTGAAGTGCTGGTAGGTCTTCAGGCTGGTGGTCACCTCCGCCTGCGGGTTGGCGTGACCCTTATGTAGCGTCTGCTTCCCAAAGTCCTTGTCCTGGAGAAGAGGCAGGACGATAAAGACGACCGCATTCATTCCCCCTCTGAGGAAAAGCAATGCTTAAACAGGAAACTCTCCAAACTGTGAAAATCTGTTAACTGTGGATGCCACCACCAACATTAGCTTTAGCATGTTCACTTCTCAGCCATTTTTCAAGATGTCAGCCATTTTTGAGTCTTTTAAACCAGCTATTGCCATAAAATGTTCCCCATTTTGGATGAACTTTATGTCGCATCACGTTTTCTATTTTGGTCATCACATTTACACAACTTTAACGTGATAAAAAGCAACAGAATCAGAATCTGAGGACTTTGCTGTTGGCAAGTCTCAGATCATGAAGGACAAGAGAGACGGGCGTCTTAATGGTTAGCATTAGCTTCTGATAACTTTTTGTGTTTAGTGGTTTAATGTTAGCATTTGCAAATATTTTTAAGCTTAGCAGTTTAGCGTTCACAAATTTTTTGTGTTTTTTGAGTTAGCATCAGTTTTTGCTAATTCTTTAATGTGCCGTTCACTAAGTGTTTTGCCGTTTAGTGATAGATATGCTAATGCTAAACACTTAGTGAATTAGCAGTTAGTGAAGCTATGTTTTGGCTAGGTGATCCCACCACTGGTAATAGCTACCTTAATCTAAAGCCAGGGTTTCCCCCGGTGTATTATAAGCCTGGCGGCCCGCCATGCTTTACTAGCCCCCCTATCTGGCTGAGCTTTGCTTGTTTTTGTTTTCAGAAAAATAATTAAAATTCTTTTTTTTTTTCTTTAAGCCAGATTGAAAGCGTCTCTGTTGCTCTGAGCGTTTCACTGGCAGAGCAGATTTATTCCTAAAAGATAAACTTATAGCTTATGCATTTAACGCCGGCAGAGCGGACCAACCATACCGCTGGCACCTGGGCGCGTTGCCTCTGCGTTGCAGCAGCTTGATCTCTGAAGTTTACCTCAGTGCGGATCAGGCGTTCCTCCTTTCACTCAAACTGGACTCAGGCTGACCTATATGGATATTTACATCAACCCCCTGTGAGGAATTACGTTTCGTTGGAGAACTCTGCATCGTGGTAGGAGTCTAAACCCGCCTCGTTTGCTCTGGTTGTGCAGCTCTATGAGAAACCGCAGGAATAACTTGTCGCTTTCAAAGGAGTGTTGAGAATGATTTATCTTTGTGAACAAAGAATGATGTGGAGCGTTTCCATCCCAACTCTGCCCAGCGTCTGGCGCTGTCTGCCCTGTAAAGTTCACGTCTGTGTTCCCAGTTGGTCGGAGCGTTAGCGGCTAACAAACCAGCGCTAACCTCACCATGCAGGTTCAACCCGGTGAGGAGCTTTCGCGCTAATTTTCGCTCTCATCATAACCTCTGCAGAACATCATCACAACCTCAACAGAACCTCATAACAACCTCATAAGAACCTCAGCAGAACCTCAATAGAACCTGAGATCGACTTTTAGTTTTTAAAGGTTTGTTTGGTAAGGAATTTTATTTATATAGTTGAATTTCAGGAACAAGGCAATTCAAAGTGCTTAGCTGTGGCCATTATTTGACGGAGCTCGGACAGGAAAGAGAGAGGGAAGACGTGCGGCAAAGGTCACCAGGCCGGGAATCGAACCAGCGACGGACGGAGGCCTCCTGATGTGGGTCTGCTCCGCCACAGCTCCCAGAACTTTTACTTCAAAGTAAATAATAAAATGCGTTGTGCACATCTTGTGTGACTGGCCACCTGTCCAGGTGAGCCCGTCTCTCGCCCAGAACATTAGCTGGAGGAACCAGAACCTCCCGAGCAACTGAGGACAAGGGTGTTAGAAAATGGATGTATTATTACATTACTGGACAATGGTGTCAAAACGACAGTATCGTTTATTGTAATAACTTCTGGGGCAATTTATCGTCCAGCAAACGTTGTTATTTTGTAGAAACGTTATGAATCGTTCCAGCAGTGGATTCATACAAACAAATTATTTTCTCATTTATTTTTATTTTTGCGGTGAGAAAAGTAATGAAGCCTGAACACAGGAACTCGTCGTCCATCAGGTGTTTCTGAGGTGTTTTAGCAACACATTCAGGCTTCTCCAGTTGAATGAAGTCCAGACTTGGACTAGGCCACTCTATAACCGTCAGTCTGTCCTGCTGCAGAAGTGACAGCTGAAGGTCGCAGCAGGAAATGATCCCGATTCCAGATTTCTGTGCACAGGGAGAGACAGTACCTTCAGCTTCTGTATCTTCCCAGCCAGAGACGAGTGAGTGCCGACGTGCTGGAAGAGCGACGGCTTGAATCGGATCCTGAGGTTGGCTTTCTGCCGGTCGCAGTGTTTCTGATGGAGACAACAGGTAACATGGCTGATCCCGGCACAAACGTCTTCAGGGTTTCTATTCGTTCTTGGAAAATAATCGATTCAAGAAGAAAAGGAGAGAAAGCTGCGGCTTTGGACTCACTGCGTCCTTCTCCGGATTGCACACTTTGACCCACATGATGTGGTCGAGCAGCCAGTCGATGGGCTTGTCCTTATAGAACATCAGCATGAACTCCACGATCAGCGACAAATCCAGAGACTTGAACATTTTACCTGCACGGAGACAGAAACACCTGAACTGAGAGACAATCAGCTGCCACTAAAAACAAAGTTACTTAACACATCTGCAGCAGAAATGTAATGTTTCTGCATAGTTAGCATCATAACACCGATAACTGATCTCATGTTACACTTCCTGTTTCCCTCAAATATGGATTATTAATATGAGTTACATTTAATTTCCTTTGGGATTAATAAAGTATTTTTGAACTGAATTGAAGCTGCAGATGTAGAGATGACAGCTTTCAACAGGAAATATTAGCGATGATGTTAGCATACTAAGGCTATGTTAGCATATCTGAATATTATACGATTAAGCTTTGGACATTAATGTTAGGCTGTGGAAGCAGCCTAACATTAATGGCTTTAGGTTTACTAAAGCTAACAGCCTCATTGTAGTTGATTTGGAATCAATATGAAACATTTTGAAAGCCATTGTTATTCATCTGAAAGTTAGCTGTGGCCATTAGCAGGCTAACAATGATGATAGCATAAGGATGATAATGCTAATGTGTAAGCAGGTCTTAATATCACAATAATTATCAATGGATTCATAATGTTAGCTTGATTTACGGGTTTAGGCCACAGTCCATTTTACAAAACAAGACAAAAACAATTGGTTGTAGTTATTAGCATGTTAGCATTAGCTCAAACAGCACCGCATTGTGCATTACTTTACATCAACGTTGTCTCTATTTTGTTTCTATAATGGGGCAAATTTTTATTTTGTGGAGAATAAAACTGGAAATCTCAATCATTATTTGTGAACTTTAGCATGTTAAGCTAACATTAGCTCAGCATGCTAATGTCATTAAGTCTGAAAATCACAATATTTAACCATAGATAAGGGAAATGGATTCTACGGAGGTCCAAAAGGGACACCAAGTGAAAAAATAATAAACTTTCTCATGTGGCCCAGATATGCTGTTGGGCATGAAAAAGTTTATTTTTAATATTTGTTCCGTTTAGGCTCTCAGTAGGAATCAGGTTGATATGGTTGCTGATTTATTGATGGTAATTTTTTTAAAGCAGCCAGTTAAAAAGCAGCTGTATGGAAGCCAGAGTGGCAGAAACTCCTGGATGGATCCGACGGCCAGAACCTGAAAACGCTTCCTGAACTGAATCAACGTGTTTTAGCTTTTTAGAGCCTCTGACTGGGAGGGCACAGCGTTTCCTGCAGCAGGACTCATTCTGCCTGCTCAGAGCCGCTCTGAACACGAAAGGTCAGAGCGTGAGCAGCTCCGCCCTCGGACCGGGCCGGCTCCGGGCCTCGGCTGGGCCTGCCTGATCCGGGTGGACGTGTCGGCCTCCGGAGGGCTGCAGGAGCGCCGATGAGATGAAACCGCAGCTAAACTTAGCAAACATGAGCAGCTGAACAAGAGGGAGCGGCCCTGCAGCTTCCCCTTCGTTTGATTTGATTCAGAGAGTCAGCCGGACCCTGAAGAGTTTATTAAAGCCGCCGCCGCCGTGCAGGCGACTCGAGGTCAGGCTGCAAACACGAGGCCAGGGCCGCGGACCACAAGGAGCACAGGAAGAGCAGGAAAATACAGGAAGAACAGGAAGAGCAGGAAAATACAGGAAGAGAAGGAAAATACAAGACTGTGCTGCTGAGAGACTAAGGAACAAAAACCCAAAAATCCAGAAAAAACAGAATCAGAACCTGGTTCTGTTCCAGGTTCTGATCCTGGTTCCCTCCAGCTCAGCGCTGTGCCCCCTGCTGGGCGGCTTCCTGCCACCCAATCAGCTTTGAGCAAACCAGTAAACATGAAGACAAAAGATTCAATTAGACAGTAAAACATATTGATTGCTTGTAATAATTACGTTTTCTCTTATTTACTGATATTAGCACATTGTGGAGTTGTTGCTCCCGTTTCTTCCAGCAGAGGGCGCTGCAGCCTCCCACTTCTAGACAATCCTCTGCTGTCGCCACTTTTTCAACAGGAAAACAATAAAAAACCTGCAGAGATTGAAGCTTCTCTGCTCTGTTGACATTGAAACTCATTTTCTACACATTTCATATATTAATAGAGGCATTAAAATTATTAGTTTATTTTAAGGAACAATAATGAGATTCTTTACTCATTAGTTTGAAAAAGAAAATCTAAACATTCAATCAAATTTCTTGATAAAGAACCTTAAAATAAGCTGACCAAAGTGATGCACAGCAGGCAGCAAAACGTGATAGAAAAGAAATTTAAAGAATAAAGTGAGAAATGAACATAAAAATAGAAAACAGAATGCACACTGAAATGACTCACTTTGTGTTAAAGGCCAGGAAATAAAAACGAGAATTTAAAGGAGGTTTTAAACAGTTATTATCCAGGTTTCCATCCAACTGCCGTGCATTTTTTTAAGGAAACTTAAAACATCATGAAAAAAGTAGTAAAAAGAAAAAGGGAATTAGTCATGTTTCCATCTGCTGGTTTGGAGCGAATCGGCCCAAGTGAGATTTAATCAGCTGCTGGCGCTGCGCATGGCTGCAGGAAACAGGAAGTGGAGATTTCCAGAAGGTTTCTGAACAGCTGATCCGTCAGGTAAACGTTCGCCAACTTATTCATTCAATGTTATGTTGACCTCAAGAAAGCTCATTTTACACAAAACCTCCCTTTAAGTGACAAATAAGAGTTTAAAATTTAACCGTAAAATAAACTGGAAGAGGCGAAATGAGGCTAAACCTGGAGTAATAAGCTCTGTTTTCCTGTCATCTCTTAAAGGGCCAGTATCGAGTTTTCAGGCACATGGCGGACATTTTATAGAACAATAAAGTAACTATGTCAACTTCAGTTGTTATAAAATTATATATATCAAATTTGACTTCCTGATTCCTTCCTTCAAATTGGGCCTCTGTCCTTATGAAAACTCCTGCTGCTCCTGAAGCTCCGCCTCCAGGAAGTCATCCAACATGGCTCTTCTTTAAACATTTAACGTTTTTACCAGTGTTGCTCTGAGCAGCAGCTCCTGCTCAGAGCAACCTCCTTCATCCTGCTGCTGGCTAGTCTGAAGGAGCTGAGTGGGGGAGGAGCTTCACCTCAAAGGTGGGGCTAGGCCCACCCAGGCATTTAGCAGCTGAATGGTTGCCATGGAGATTAAAGGACTTCTCAAACACGAATGAATCGGAGCAACACCGCAGTCTAAAGAGAACAAAGAGTGATGAAGGATGAAGCAACGGATTCATCATCGGCCCATCTTCGTTCTTCCACCTGGACTCATCCAGACGTCCGTCTGTCCCCCGCGGACGGGACAGGAACACATCGACTCCAATTAAAGGATTCAGTGATTCAGACGGAAAAGCTTTGGTCTGATACTAAATAAATGAGGCTGGCTCCAGAACCAGAACAGTTTTGACTGCAGAACCGACCCAGACAGCTTCTGTCCTTACAGGAACTTTATCTGTTCTTTAAGTCTGAAAACCATGATAGTTTGCATTTATAGCAGCAGTGGCTAGTAGCAGCGGTAGCTAGTGGTAGCTGTAGTTAGTGGTAGCGAGTGGTAGCTGTAGCAGAGGTAGCTAGTGGTAGCTGTAGCTAGTGATAGCTGTAGCAGAGATAGCTAGTGGTAGCTGTAGCTAGTGATAGCTGTGGCAGAGGTAGCGAGTGGTAGCTGTAGCAGCGGTAGCTAGTGGTAGCTGTAGTTAGTGGTAGCGAGTGGTAGCTGTAGCAGAGGTAGCTAGTGGTAGCTGTAGTTAGTGGTAGCTCGTGGTAGCTGTAGCTAGTGGTAGCAAGTGGTAGCTGTAGCAGAGGTAGCAAGTGGTAGCTGTAGCAGAGGTAGCTAGTGGTAGCTGTAGCTAGTGGTAGCTGTAGCAGAGGTAGCTCGTGGTAGCTGTAGCAGAGGTAGCAAGTGGTAGCTGTAGCTAGTGGTAGCTGTAGCAGAGGTAGCTAGTGGTAGCTGTAGCAGCGGAAGCTATCACTTATTAATAATGACAAATTAAACATCAAGCCTGTGGCGGCCTGAATGTTCTGCTAGCAGCCTGTGTAAAGCCGGCGTGTTTTAGGCGATAAAGTTCGTAACCAAACCCAAAGCAGCAGTGAACTCACCGATGAATCCGAGCTGGGAGAACTCCAGGATCATCCACTCCTCTGACGGCTGCTGCAGCGCAAAGTTCTTCATGGTGGTGAAGTAGTTCGGACGCGCCACGATGTCGTCCTCCAACTAAAAACAGAGACGGAATACAGGAGTTTAAAAATCTGCTCAGAGTGAGACCTCCCGTTTAACAGAACCAGTCTGATAGCATGAAGCAGGTCTCTAAAAGCAATCCATCAGTCTAGAAAGGGCTGCAAAGAGCCACAGTGAGGGTTCTGGGCTGGCCTAGTCAAAGTCTGGAGCGTTAATGCTGGAAAACCCTCTGATGTGTCTGAAATAAATCAGCAGAGAGGGTCAAAGTTCATCCACACGGGAGGTCGACTCCATGGGGGAAAGGCCAGCTGGGAACACTTTTCAGGATGATTTGGTGGATTTCTGATCCGGGCTTTTATTTTGAAGAGTCCCAGCAGGTGGTCCCAGGTCCAGGCTGGAAAACATTCTTTAGTGCCAGTAATTATTTCCCAATAATTAACTCCATCACTAATACAATCAATAATCATCAATAACTGACTGCATTCATGACCTTTATTTTGAAGGTCTGGGCCATTCTGATCTGGATCAATAATTAAAAAAATAAATGTTGGAGTTTATCTAAAACATGGAGTCAGCTGATTTTCAGCAGGAAAGGATTCAAACCCTGAGCGGCTCCAGCCGCCTCTGAATGGAAACTTTTACTTTAAGGTCACTTTGATCTGAAACATTACAGTTAAAATTAATAAATCAGTGGCATCATTAATTAAAACCAGATCAATAATTTACAATTTCATAATTTTTTAAAATCAATTTTCTGGATGACAAAAGTATTTGGTCTCAACTAAACCTTCTTCATTTGTTGTTTTGGTTTTGTGATTTCATTACAATTTGAAGTTTATTGATCGTTCAGTTTGTTATTGTGAGAAACGATTGATCATCAGTTTACCTGAACATAGTACGTTCCTTTGGTCTGAGCGTACATCATCAGGAAGCAGTAGTCCAGGTTCTGCTTCGTCCTCCACCTGAGGAGGAGGAAGGGCAGGAAGAGGAGGAAGAGGAAGCTGGTTAGTCATCTGTTCAGCTGCAGCAGCTGCTATTCGACATGCACAGATGCAAATCCAGGAACAGAAGGGAGCCTGTGTTGGGTCTATGGTTGCTCTGGTTGCTCTGGTTGCTCTGGTTGCTCTGCAGTCAGGTTGCTCTGGTTGCTCTGGTTGCTCTGCAGTCGGGTTGCTCTGGTTGCTCCGGTTGCTCTGCAGTCAGGTTGCTCTGGTTGCTCCGGTTGCTC